CCACTTGCTCCTGGAGGTGGAGGCACATCCCCATATCTGTGGCACAGAAATGTGGGGAAAGGTTTCTGTGTGTTGGCAGGTTGGGTATGTTTCTGGCTTGGTATATAGTTGGGCCTCAGAGTTGGATAAAAGCTGTATAATAAATATGGCTTGACTTGATGTTCCCTCAGTAGTTCAAAAGCTCAAAATTGGAAAAAAAGAAAAAGTAGGCGATGGATGCTCAGGGTTCTGCTACCTTTAGTCTCTGGGTAAATAAGGCCTTTGCAGTTTCCTTCCTGCTGAAATCTCACTTCGCCTTGTTCTTGACGTATTGGGTTATCTGGCACTATTCTTCGGAATCCCAGATTCCTAGAGGAGGCTCATCTCTGCCCAAATAAAGCCCCTACGAGAAGACCAATGATGGACACCTATCTTCTGTCCCATATCGATCAGTGGTGCCCTAAAACAATCTTTGTGCCTTGGTCTGAGAAGAGGGAAGGGGCTTGGCTACTTTTGCTTTCAAGAATTAGGAACAGAAACCTAAAATGGAAACAGCTGAGAAGAAAGACGCCAAGTCAAAAACAAGATCCAGCTGGAGGAGGTCAGGCCCGATAAGCAGGCTGACCACAGGCTTGAAAAAGAGGTCAGGCCCCAAGAGCTGAGCTTGAGCGGTGAGGAGTGTTTTTGCCAAGGGAAGATGATGGCCTGTGAGGTAAGTGGGCTCTGTTCCTCTGTCCCACACCCGGTTTGGGTTAGCTCAGGGAGGCCTTGCTGGTTCCCCCTCCATTCTCTACTGAAGGCTGAACTACTTAGGCTTAGCAGAATGGCGATAGAAAGGGTATGTCTGAGTGTCTAGAAAAGAGGTATGTTTGGGGAAGATGAAAAATCACTGGAAGGCCAGCTCCAGTTTGACCTCCTCTAAGAACCCTTGCCAAATTACTCCTCATGGGTCTTGGCTCCATCTCTCCACTCCACTCCATTGACTTCGCATTTTATTTCGAGTAGGCATCACGAACTATTGGATAATAAATTACATGGTAATGGTAGTAACTAATATTTATATGGTGTATCTTCACTAACAAAATTCATTGCTTTCGCAAATATTTACTCAATTGGTTTTTTTCTGAGAAATAGCTGGAAGAATTACTGATAGTCTGCTTTGTATAAAGCCAAATTGGTAAAGAAAGCACACACTTTGATTCCATCAGGGAAGACTTCAAACATAAGCTTTATCATTGGCTGACTGTGAGCTGGGATGGTTTGTTCTGCCAGTTCAGGCAGAAGTTGGTGGCACCAGGAGAGCTCTGTGCCCTCTTATTTGTCAGCATAGTAACTGTAGCTTCCATCATGAACTACATTTTTGGTAAAAGGTAAGAGATTATTTTGGCAGCGTCATATTTTGACCAACATACTGTTTGAAATTCTGAGCAAATCCTGTGGATTTCTAGAATCAAAACAACTTCATTAAAAAGGTTTTTTTGGACATTTGAAGGCTGTGACCTCTGCCAGGCTTCACATCACAGCTCTCCTTGGCAACCACACCTTTGGGTCATTACTGCTCCTCTAATCACATCTTTGTTCTGCTTTGATTTCTCTTCCCCTTCCCTTCTGAGGACCACCCCTTCCAACCCTTTGCAGTGCACCCTGGGAGATTTCCTGTCCATGCTCACAAAGTCTTTCATTTTCTTAGTCCCTCTATAGAGTTTTTTCCCCCTTATCCTCTGCCCTAACTGAAACCTGGTTTCCCCAGGGGATATCACTTTTCTGAAGGCTCCTTTACATGGACTCCCAAAACACTTTTATTTTTTTTTACCATATTAACTATTTTCATTTACTTACTTTTTTCATTTTTACTGAGAAATAATTGCAATATAGCACTGTATAAGTTTAAGGCATACATCATGATGGTTTGGTTAAATATATTATGAAATTATTACCACAATGGGTTTAGTTAACATCCATCATTCATATAAAAAAGAATAAAAACATTCTCCTTATGAAGAGAATAACTCTTAGGATCTACTTCTTAACTTTACTATATATTATAAAGCAGTGTTAACTATAGTCATGTTGTAGTCATTACATCCCTTGTACTTATTTATTTTAAAACTGGAATTTTGTACTTTTTGACCACCTTTTTCCAATTATCCCTTCTCCAACCCACACACCTCTGATAACCACAAATCCGATCTTTTTTTCTATGAGTTTGGTGTCTTTAAAAATTGTGTTCTACAGATAAATGAGATACTACCATCTTGGCTTTCTCTGTCTGACTTATTTCACTCAGCCTAATGCCTTCAAGGGGCATTTATGTTTACTCAAATTGTGGAATTTCTTGTTATTTATGGCTGAATAATATTCCATTGTATATACCATAACATCTTTGCCCACTCAACCACTCATAGACACAGGTTGTTTTCATGTCTTGGCTAAATAATGTCTTGGCTTTCATTATGATAAATAATGCTGCTGTGCACATGGGTTTTCTAATATCGTTTTGAGTTAGTTTGAGTCATTTCCTTTGGTTAGATTTCAGAAATAAAATCTCTGGATTATATGGTACCTCTATTTTGAAAATTTGCGGAAATGCTATACCAATACATTCTCCCTAAATCTTACCCAGAAGTTAATGTGACCTTTCCCATATCTGTATACTATTGCCTCCAAATATTATTATTCCTCCAAGTTCCTATTTCTCTTAAAGAAGAATGGTGTTTGACTGTACCATTTGATCCTCCACTTTCTACCCCTACATCTCCACTGCGAAACATCACCTTCTTCATCTTTCTCCACATTCATTGATGACTTCGGCACATGACATTCAGTTCTCTCTCCTTTCCTAAGTCCTACTGTTGTTCTGTGTGGTCAGTATTCAGAAGACTAACCAATTCCTTGACTTCCACAAACTTCAGGATTTCATTCTCTGATCACAAATCTCTATCATTCTATCTCTCACTCCTTTCATGTGTTCTCTTATATCTTTAAGACAGCTTGTGTTGTCTATGTCTACCTTCCCACACCTAACAATCCTTCTCTGTTTTCCTGTTCATCTGTACATCCTGTCCAGCCTAGATGGCCATTCTCCTGTTGGTGTCATAAATTCCTTTCTAGGCCATTGCACATTGTGATTCAACTCCTCTCTTCTAGTTTTCTTTAATCTGCATTTAGACCATTGGGCCCGTTAGGGAAAATTATGCCACCACATATATTGGAGCCACTATAAAGTCATGGTTCCAACTTCAGTCTGGCCCACAGTGATACCTATAAGATGCACCTTTAATGTCTCCAAAATTTGATCTTTACAATAAACGTTTCGCAACTTTCTAAAGGCCAAGATACTCTGTATCATGGCTGTAAGCAATTCATTATATCTACTACTTCACAGTGATGTATATATTCTCAGATGAGAATTATAGCTATGATCATTTCTCATCTTGTCGACACCTGCCTCTATGGAAGAGGTGTCTCTGCCTTTCAGGCCAATTTCCCCCCTGAGCTCTGGATCTCATCACCTAGCTCTTTCTCCCAAGAACTTTGCTCTAGCAGTTCTCTCCTGGTCCTTGTATCTTCAAGGGAAAGCAGATGGGGAAGCTGAGAGAAAGTGAAAGACAATTCTGGAGGTTTAGCTAAATTTTTAGAGATTCCCATACCTTGAGGGCAGAAGTGGGTCAAGATCTTGCAAAGGATGAGTGGTAAGGAAATAGCACTCACACATATACACAGTAGGGAGTCATGTTGTCACCCCATCCCACTCAGAATGTTGTAATAATCTATGTCCATACATGGGTCCTTATGAAACTCCTCTTAAGAGTGTCATAGGGCAGGGCTGTGTGTTTTTCATCTTTGAGTCTTCCATGCCAACTATGGCAATGAACAGATAAATAGTACTAGAAGCAAAAAAAGAGGTAAGTTTTGGCAGAAATGATTTTTGATAGATCCTTGGATAAACACCTGGAACTAATGAAGAGGTGAATAGCAAGTCCTGGGAAAAGGCACAATGACAGGTCAGATATGTCTACCATAAGGATCCAGTCTGTGCTGTTTTTCACTGACAGCTTCAGTTTGGACTTCCTTCAGCTGGCAAACATTGTGACTCATCACAGCTCCTGAATATTTTATCTTACAGTTTTCAACCATTGACCAGACCTTATCTGATATTTCCTTAGTCCCAAGTCCCCAAGTGCTAAGTCACTTGACCATTACTTGTGATCATGGAATATAGGTGAAGCAAGAAAATGGAATTTCTGGTGATACATGTAAATAGACTGGAGAAAAGGAAAGATCCAAAAAGAGAAGTGGTACTGTTCTAAGTGGAAGGGATGCTGGACAGATAAAGCACTAGGTGTACCCTGGTGTAGCTCCTGATAGGCATTGCCTACAGTAGCATATAAGAGGTGTTTAATCAATATATGTTGATCAATAAATGAATGACTGAGTGAAATGATAAAGGAGTTAAGTTTTTGAGAGTCTTCTACTATAGGAAGGAGTACAATTTATCTAATAGGCTTGTGTTGAGAATAAATCACTTATGCAGTGCTTAGCAGATAATAAATACTCAGTAAATGCTATCTAAACTTCCAGTACCTTATCTGGGTTGGAAGTGGGCGCAGGCTTAAGGGGAATTTATCTTAGCAAGTCACTTTCAAAATTCCATCAGCATGATCTGATAAAACCTTAGTCTTTCTGTCTCCTCTTCTAATCACACCTAAAGTCAATATAAATAAGGCCCAGGACTCTCCCTGGGCTCATTCTGAGATGCCACATTCCCTAAGAGAAACTTCAGGGCATCTCAGAACAAAGTCCTCTGTTTGCACCAATCAGAGGCTATAGTCACATCTTCAGAGGGCTAACAGAAACTCAGGTTAAGAACCCCTGAGCTACTGGATTAATGTTTATTCTTTTATTAGCAAAACTTCAGTTTACTCATTTACCAAACTAGCTTACACAATATACACCTGAACTGTTACTTCTTGCTCTTTCTTGTGTGTGCCTTCTTTCTTGGGCCATAATTAATACTCTTGATCTCATATTGAATGGTCCTTTACCTGCATACTCTTCAATCTTCAGTAGCTGTTCTGGCTTTATATCTTTCCTAATCCACTCCCATCTGCCTCCAGTAATGATGAAACAGCTTTTTCCCAGACCTGGTACTGAACATTCTGCTCCAGTTAGGAACCTGAGGCTCTTACCTTCTATCCCAATTCCTTTATCAAACTGTTTCTTCTAAATCTGTACTGGGCAATGCTAAAGATTTGTAATGAATGAAAATTTCTCTCTACTGACAAATGCTTTGTGGGCACCATTTATAGTTGACAAAGCTCCCTACAACATTCTGATGGCAGTGCTTTACTAAGGCCATCTCACTCCTCATCACGGTGCCAGTCGCCCCAGTCTCCTAAGTGATTAGTAGTTTTGGAAGATGAAATTTCTCTTTTACTGAGAGTAGTTTCTTAAATCTTTCTCTTAAGAAAGCATTGTTCCATGGTGTCTCTCATTGCTGGAAGACATGCAGGGGTGTCCAGCCTGCAGCCCGTGGTGCCATGCAGCCCAGGATGGCTGTGAATGTGGCCTAACGCATAATTGTAAGTTTACTTCAAACACTATGAGTTTTTTGTGATTATGTGTTGCAGTGTATGTAATGTATGGCCTAAGACAACTCTTCTTCCAGTGTGGTGTAGAGATGCTAAAAGGCTGGACATTTTGCTTAGAGGTTGTCTATTACACTGGTCCTGCAAGATTCCTGAACTTGTCTGCATGTCCTCAAGGAACAATCTAGTCTGTACTTAATTATTATTTCTTTGTGCCTTCTGGAGAAATACCTAGTCTTTCCTTCAGCCAAATTGTATATCTCCTGCTCTTACCCGGTTCTTTTTCACCTATCAAGAAACATTTTGCTCCCCTGCAATCTTTAACCATGAAATCCTTTCATAACCATTAGAGACAGCTGAAGTCCCTTTTCCTCCACAGGACAGCTTGAATAGGCACGTGGAACCAAGCCAGTCTCTCCTTTGTCTTCTCTTTCCCAGCACCATGAGTCTTCGGACTTTCAACTCTTGCTCATATGTTATGGTCCACTTAGCTTTTCTCAAGATAGATTCTGTTCCATTAATTTTCTTTTTAAAATTCTTAATTTCAACAAGCCGACTCTCTGTGACACCTACAGAATAGGGGATGTCTACAAATGTCCTTTAGGCATGATAAATACTAAATATATTAGAATTAGGAATTTGCCTTGCAAATAGAGACATTCTAAATTGAAAACATTTGTTGAAGATAGAAAGCTTAGCCTAAGTAAAAATTAGTGCACCAGTATTCATCATTGTTCTATTCTCGAAAGCACTATGAGGTCATCATTACGGTAACACAAACAAAAACCATCAACGGCCACTCTGGCCTTCTGCTAGTGCCTTGAATATATCAAGCTTTTGTCACTTCAAGGTCTTTGCTTGTGCTTTTCCCTTTGCCTGGAACTCTTTCTGCAACCTCAAATGTTTGCTTTCCAACTCCCCATGTTTCAAGTCTCTGAGAAACTTTTTCTTGATTTTTTTACCCCCCATTCCAGCCCTCATCTAAATCAGGTCACCCATCATTTTCCAACCTGCTTTTAACTTTCCTTATGGCAAACAGCACAATTTAAAATATGTTTATTTGCATGATTATTTAGCACCTGTTTTCTTCACTAGACTGTAAACTTTGGAAAGGTTGCAATTCTGTCTGCTTTGTTTACTGTGAAATTCCCAGCACCTGGCAGAGAGCCTGGTTTATGTTGGAAATTCACATTACATGTGCTGGATGAATGAATGAATGAATGAATGAATGAATGAATGATTCCTGCAGAATACTGTTTTTTCTTTCCTTCTTATATTTGTATATAGCTGTGTTGTTTTCAAATGATTTTCATGTTCCTATCATTTAAGGATGGAAGGGTGGTTATTATTGTCTCATTTCCATGTGATGAAACTGGGCTCCAGGAAAATGAACTACACAAATTCACTTAGCTGGTGGCATATGGAGCTGTGATCAGAGCTGAGACTGAATGTTGATGCTTAGTCTCATGCTCTTTTCATTAGTCATTAAAAAATGAAGAGTTTCTCTTAGAAATAATTTAATCTCAGAAGAAATAATTTGAATGCACATAATAGAGCTTCTTTTTTCTAAATCTTGGAAAAAACTAGCGTCTGCTATCTGGAAAGATCTACATAAAAGACAACCTCCTGACTTTTTTTTTTTTTGTACACTTTGGTTTTTAGACCAGCTTTAGGTTTACAGCAAAATTAAGTAAAAGATACAGAGATCTTCCATTCTCCCTCTGCAATGCTACAATTTTTATGATTTGTTTTCCTCATGTGACCTACTGTGGAGAGGAACGTGAAGGGAAGAGCTCATCACTGACCTAATCCTGTTAACTTTTGTTCAGAGAACTTCAGATAGGCTGTACAAAACATATATTTATCAAAGGCAGAAAACACTTTCTCCATTTGAACACATTTAATGTATTTTCCCATGAGAGAAATTGGTCAACAAAAATGTTAGTTTTTGTCAAGCTAGTAGATTAAAAAATTAAAAATTCCCTCTACCATAGCTTTTGCTTCCTAATATGTCTGTTATGAATTTTGTGTTTTTTTTTCTATTGACTCACTTTACTTATGGGTCACCACCTTTGCAATAACATGTAGACTTGACAGCAAAGCAACATCCTTTCTTTATAGAAATTTCATACATTAGCCTTTTCTTTCCTCTGCTGAATCATACTGCTTTTCTTTCATTATTTCAGATTAGTAAGGTTTGTGGTTCATTTTTCTCCATTCAGAAAATCATAGACTCCCAGTGTCATCATAACACAGACTCACTTTAAGGAAAATCGTTACTTCAAGGATTTTACTGAATTGATATATAATTAAAAATATTTTCTAATATGTTGATTTTCTGATTTATATCTCAAGTTACATAATTTCTGAATATGGAAACATGTATTTTCATTTCTCTAAGGAATCAGATAACCCTTGGTTCATTGAGGTAGACAATTTTTTCATAATGTAGTATTCATTTCTCATTTGCTTGAAAACAGGGAATTTCATAGAATCATAACATTTTATGGTGGCAGGAGATTTTCTAGGCAACTTAGAGCAACTGCCTTGGAATCCCCTCTGAAATATACCCTCTGTAGTCATCCATCCCCTGCCTGAATACACCACTTCACTTCTAATGCACACACCCAGGATTGGACCAGGATGGTCACCTACTCAAGGAGATGTGGTCCCTCTAAGTCACCAGCAGGATGCTGGCTTCTGAAATGGGGCTTCACTTATGTCTGAACAGTAACTTCCCTGAAAAATGGCCCTCTGGAGAGTGCTCCAGGAAACTGGAGCCAATGTGCGATTGATTCAGCTGTCTGGTGGCAAGGTGGGCTGACTTCATTTGGGGCTGAAGGCAGGGGCAAACTGACAGCAGGTTTTTGTGCACGAAGATTCCTGGCCAGCTGCTTGCTAGAAAGAGAATGATTTAAGTGGGCTTCAGTTTCCAGATGTCCCCTTCAAAAGTACATGATTGCCATTGGAGAGGATGAAAAAAGAATATGTAATATGTGACTTAATTACTCTTTTTCACTGATTATTTTTTACTTAACATTTGGCAGCACAGTTTTTATACATTTTATTTTTGAGACTTTTTCTTCAGAACTGTCCAGAATGCTGATAGGCCCACAATTTTTTTTTTAGTATAATTTTTATGCACATTTTTCTCTTTCACGTGTTGGTTCACACATTATTCCTTACATTCAAAATTTTTTCTCTTTCTGCATTCTGTAGAATAGCATAATTTCATAACACAATTTTAACAGTTAGTAAAAACAAACATTATGGTACCTTGTGAAATGGCATAATTTGCTCAGGTATTTCTATATCCTTGGAGGAAACTGCCATAAAAGTATCACCATGAAAATTTGATACTCAAATGAGGTGGGTTGATATTTTAAATATCAACCTGTTTTTTCTTTCTCCCAACATTTCCATCTCCTCTACCCCTATCTGCACCCCTGTAGTGTAGTTAACCCCTGTGATGAGAACAACTGAGTTGCTGCTGAGGCATTTTACAGTGTAATAACTCTACTCACACCCAGAGTCTTGACATTGAGAGATCTTTTAAAATAACCACTTAGAGTGAAGCTCCTGAAAAGTTAGTGACCTTCATCCCAGCCACTTTGTAAGTCTTATTAAGTCACAGGTGCTTGCCTGCTACCCTGCCCTGTCTCTCCTGCTTGCTTGGGCCCTGGGATGGAGGGCACCCCTCCATAGCATCTCTGCCTCCTCTCTTGCTTCTAGAATCTATAGGAAATAAAGCTTGTGGCTTTACTTCCTTTGTGTTGGTGTATTGAACCTGTGCCTTCAATAGAAATGACCCTGTGGGATTCACTTTCCCAGATTGTGAGCTGGGATGCTGAGGGAGCTGTCCACACACCCCTCGAGGGTGGCTTGGGCCCCTCATTCAGCAAATCCATCTGCGTGTCATTTTTCCTCATTTATTTTTATTGTTGACACTATTACAGATATCCCCATAATCTGCACATTCTTAATTCAATATATTAGCTCCAGGTTCTCAACACAGCCTTGTACTTGATTGCCTCAGGGGAGGCAGTGAAGGGCTGCATTCAGAAATAGCCTACTTGTCTTTATGACATTTGTCATGGAAAAGCCTGAGCCCTCAGGGGAATTTTGAGAGTTTTGTGGAGAAGGTAAAAGGTTGGTATTTAAAGGTATAGACAAAATGTTTGGCCAGGAGCAAGAAGAGAGGAAGTGCCGCGTATTCCTCTGGGCACTGTGTGTGTGTGTGTGTGTGTGTGAGAGAGGGTTGGTGGAGGGGAGTGAGAGAGAATAACTATGCCTCAGAGGGCTCTGTAGTCCAAGAGAGGGATCCTGACCCCTGTGTTCCCCACAGAGCTGACACAGCAGTAACATGACCCTAAAGAGGAAATGGCTACCTCATACATGGAATATAACTCGGAAACTGATAAGCAGCAGCCTTGTAGGAAAAATTCCTTTTCCCCAAGAGTGACAGGGAAACCATGGGGAGTTACCAGATGTCTTGGGCCATGCAGCATGGGACAATGGATGCGATGAAACTCGCGTGGACCTGTGACTATGAATCATCGCAAATGTGCTCCCACCTTGCTTCTGCACATGGAATCCTACCTATGGCACAGCTTGGGAGGAACAGGAAGAGGGGATAAGTGTTAGGAAGAACTCAGGATAAGTTTTTCCACCAACCCAGCAGAATAGAAACTCGGTATAAATGTTACACTGAATTACAGAAAAAAAATGTTTATAGTACATCTAAGTGTGTGGTCTGAGTGTCATACTTGCTACATAATCAAGAACTATTTTTCTTACTAAAAATAAATAAATAAGGAGCCCTGCTGGGGTGGCTCAGGGGGTTAGAGTGTTGTCCTCTAAACTAAGTTTGTGGATTCAATTCCTCATGAGGGCACATGCCTAGGTTGTAAGTTCAGTCCCTGGTTGAGGCTTGTACAAGAGACAACTGATCAATGTGGCTCTGTCATCAGTGTTCCTCTCCCTCTCTCCTGCCT